CCCGAATTATCGTCACGGTCACTGGATTCGGCCGAGTTGGAAGTAAAGGCTCGGAGCAATAATGAGATGAAAAGGACTTTTACTTGACTACTTTGCCTCTTGTAGAACACAGAGATGCTGAGGTTTTGAACTCCAGGTTTATCTTCTTTTTCGACATCTTCATCAACCTCTATATCAGTAACTAAACAGCACAAATGCTGCACAAACTTTATTACCAAGAAACAACAACAATACCAAAAGCACACATGTACAAGAACACATCATTTGTGTAGTTGACAGATATAATACAAGCTGTAGAAGGGGAAATTGAATCAGTTAGACTCAACTAGTCAGAGAAAATTCGATCTAGAGACTCTAGACGAATTTTCTCTGGACTTCACAGAGAAATTCTAGTTTACAGAGATTTTCTCTGGTCCATTTTTTTTTTTTTTTTTTTTTTTTTTTTTTTTTTTTTTTTTTTGTCAATTGTTAATTTATTTACTATTCATTTTTTTTATATAAAATTGATTTGATCACATAATTATCGGTATTCGATCAATGTAATTTTTTACAGACATATAGTACTCGAAGAGTTCTACATATTGAACGGTTTAGATTTTTAAAACGAGACCTTTGGTGGACCACCACAGACCCAACAACATGATCCAATCCGATGATAGACTGGACCAAAGCCAGACCCCAGTAAAAACCTATAAAGAACAAGAACAATTAGTTAGAAGGAAAGTTAAAAGGACATAACTAGCATTTGTTAATTGATGCCATTCTCAAACTTAATATTTATTTTTTTATGTTATCGGCGGAAGTTAATAATTAATTATTAAATTAATAAAATTATAAAAAGATTATGTAAAAATAAAAATGTGTTAATATGCACTCTTAAGGCATATATTAAAAGGTTTAAAAAGATAATACATTATTTATTTATTTATTATTATAAGAACTTTTATTCAAAGTATACAATATTTTTCAAATTCTTAACATAATATTTTATTACAAAAATATATAAAAATTGAAATAGAGTCAAATTAGGATGAGATATAAAATTCTAATTTTCTTTAAAATTCAAGCACATTGCAGTACGAAGAGTCCAAAAACCGATCCGACAGCCACCAAATTCTAATTTGTACATTGTGCAATGAGTTGGTGCTGAGTAGGTCTATTCATAGGCTACTTAGGATCTCTAAAAATTTGTCACATTGTAATGATTCATTAAACTAGAGTTTTGAAAAAATTAAAAAAAAAAAAAAACGTTGGTTGGATAGAATTTTTTAAATATGATTTGAGAATAGAATTGTATTTTAAATTTGTGAATTTTAGAATTATAATATAAGTGTAGAAAATTTATTTGGTGAATGAATTTTGAATTTTGTTTTGAATTGAGTGAAATTTTTTTGATGTGACATTTGATATTTGATACAAAGGCTTACAACTTATAAGCAAATCCACAACTCAAAATTCTATTAAAACTCATAAAAAATTTTAAAAAATTTGAAAAATATTTTTTGTTGAATATATAGAAACTAACATGTGTCAATTGCTAAAAAAAAAAAAATTTTGCACTATTCCAGTCGGTTAGTCCAAATTTTTTTACTTTTGACCGAACTTTCAAAATTAAGCGTAAAATTAATTTTTAAAAGTTCCAACTAAACATTATATACAAACTAAGAGCTGAAATTACAATTCCAAAACTTTTCTAAACAGAGCCTATATTTTTTTGGCATGCGTGAGGTGAAACAAAAGGGTAGTCATAGAACATTGCTCTAAAAATATTTAAAAAAAAGAAAGAAAGAAAAGTCAATTAATGGTGTGTTTGGTTGGGAGATTTGTGGAGGGAATTGGAAAGGGAAAGGGAAAAGGTGTGTAAAACTAGGTAAAATGTAAGTATATTTTATTTATATTTCACCTAACTTTTCCTTTTCCCTTTTCAAATTTCTCCTCAAATCTCCCAACCAAACATAACGTAAATGAGTTAGCTTATACGTAAAGAAGAAAAGTAGATTATCGGCTACCATTACCAATCAGGAACATTGTATTTGGTCTAGTTGAAAGCTTCTAATATACTTTTCTTACCATTGTTGGAGTCCCATTATTCCATAACACAGAATTGAATAAACATAACCATGTGGTTCGGCTCATCAATTTTGTTTTTACTTTTTTATATTTTTTTATTTACAAAAATTTTCTTCGCATAACTGCAACAATTACCGAATGGTTTTTCACATTTAAATAGTCTAAAATTGCTCAATGATTTTCCTCACTCATCAAATCTTTTCTTAATTATTAGTTCATTCAAAAATTTAAATATAAAATTATAAACACATCGTATTTGCATCACTGCTAGTTAACATATAAATGAGGGGTGTGGTGAAGATTGAGATGGTGCTATAGTGGTAGTGGACTATAGTGGCGGGGAATGGAAAGAAGAGAAGATAAGGAAGTAGGAGGTTGCGAAGAGTTGAAAGGAGTGGAATGAATAAAAGGTCGTGTTCGTGGTAGAGTATAGAGCGATGGTGCTGGAATGACTAAAGTTGCATATGAACTAAGTTAAGACGAGTTTTGTGGGATTCGAATTTGGCTTGAGTTTGACAATCTAGCTCGAGCTTGATAATATTTTTTTTAATTTTTTTATATTATTTAATAGTTATATTTTATTATTTAAATAAAGATAAACGAGTTAAATTTATTCGAATGAGTTTAAAAGTTTGATTCAAGTTTGTTTATTTACTTCACAAATTGAGCCAAATTATTCGAATGAGTTTAAAAGTCTGATTCAAGCTCGTTTATTTACTTGACAAATTGAGCCAAACTAAACCCTTATTGAAGCAAATCTCATGAACAATTCGGTTCATTTTCATTCTTATATGTAGCACCAAGGAGATGAAAGAGAGTTAAAAGACAATAGGTAGGGAGTTAAAAGAGAGGGCCAGAGTAAAAGCATAATATGGTAATTTTATTTTTAATTTATGTAACTCCATTGACATTTCAAGCCCCTCAGGGGAGGGTGGTATAATTTCTCTATACTAATAGAACAAATGAAATATTGACAATTATCCGGGGTTAGCCCAATATGGTTTTATAAGGCATCAGCAAATATGTAATTACCAAACTTTGAAGACGTCCTCATCCAATGAATGATATATATATATATATATACTAATAAAATCAGTTGAACAAGGATGGACCAAGTTAATATAAACAATTATGACCTAATAGTTTAATCCAAAAATCCTTAGTTGAAATAGCCAAGAACCAATGCAAAACAATCATTACTAATACAATATGAAGGTGCAGTAAAAAACCAATAAATCTGCTGACAATCCTATTAGCCTCCCCATGACCATATGTCGGTATCCAACATAAGAAATCACAGAGAAAAAAATTAAAGAGATACAATATTACTATAAATTGAAAAAGGATATTTAGAAATTCACTCACATTAAAGGGTATTTTGAGAAGATGATTAAAAAAAAAAAATTTGACTTCTTTTTAAAAATTTTTTGTGAGAGAGAGAAGTGGATTAAAAATTAAAAAATGACTTTTAACTCATTTTTTAAAATAAGCCTAAGAGTCAACGATCTATATTTATTATAAGTATGACTCATGTCTCACTAAATCTACATTTAAATCACACATTCATTTGTGGAATAATATTTATAATCCATAACATTTTTGATATAGTAATACTACTAATCTAAAAATTACTAAAAAATATCAATATGTGATTCACATTCATTCTATATATGAATCTCATTGTACATACTTTTAATTTCCACCATACACTATCATTTTTTACACGAAAAAGTTCATATTGGAAAATGTTGTAGGTTCCAAATTTTCTACCAAATAAATAATCAAATATCTCACATGGATGCAGGGTTCACAAAATTGCGGACCCCATAACCATATAAGACATTTGGTCATTTGTTTGGTAGAAAATTTGGTATCCCTAACATTTCCCGATATGTTTTTATTGAAATGAATGAATCACACTAACGGTTCCTATAGTTTGAGACTTTTGTCACTTTAATTCTTGACTTTTCAATTGTGATACATTTGATCATGAATTTAGAATCCTATTCCAAATAAAGACAATGAAAGATATCATTGGATTTTTCAAGAGCAAAATTGTCAATTTGATAAAATATAAACTAATTTGACAAAAATAAATGTCAAAAAAATATTTTTGAATTTTTAAAAATTATTTTTACACACTAAAGATAAAATTATGTAAAATTGATAAATCTTTTAGACATTTATTTATTTTTTTTTATCAAATTAAATTTTATTATGTGTTTGGATGATGATCATGTAAAATTAATTTTTAAAAATTAATTATGTAATTTTTATTAATTTTTATCAATTTTACATAATTTTATCTTTTGCGGGTAAAAATAATTTTTAAAAATTTAAAAATATTTTTTTGACATTTATTTTTGTCAATTAGTTTATATTTTATCAAATTGACGATTTTATCCTTAAAATTAAGTAATGGTATTTTCAATTGTTTTTGTTTGGAACAAGATTCAAAATTCAGGGTCAAATGTCTTACAATTGAAAAGTCAGGGACCAAAATGACATGAGCCTCAAACTATAGGGACTATTTGTGTAATTTATCCTAATGGTATATGTACTAATTAGTATACTAACTAGTGTATCAATTAATGATTTGATATAATTTAAGATATTTTTGATATTTGTAATTTCTATAATGAATTGAGTCAATAATAATATCATATCTACTATTGATACATTAATTAGTAAACTAATTAATATATATAATATCACTATATATATATATATATATATGTATGTTGCATGTTACTATAGTGAGAGAAAGTCAAACTGTGTAGCACGCAAATGCAACACCGACTCTTCGCCCCAAAGAATGGCCTCGTGCATTAATTATCCTTTTAGCTCAAAAGGTCGTCTCCCTCTCTCTCTGCCTTATTTTTCTTCTTCCAAAACATTGGAAAAGTCGATTATTAACCATCTCCCTTGGAATTTCCGTGTATTGACTTTCTCTTTTTGCACAACTAGGACTAGCACACCTTAAGCTCATTGTCGTCTTCATATAAAATCTCATCTCCCTATTCTCTAACCTTCATCCAAAATCCAATTTCCAATACTTTTTATCACTCCTCTCCTTCTATATCTCCTTTGTATACTTTGCCTTGTTTTTTTGGCCATCTCAGCTTTCTGGGTTAGTTGACATTTTTTGTTCTCAAAAACATTTGATTTGATTTGATCAAAATCTTTGTTTCCAAAGTTCAGATCGTGGCTTGTTTAGGCCTGGAATATTAGGTTACAGTACAGCTCTATTTTGTTTTTTGTTTTTGTTTTGAAATGGAGGAGATTGATGTTCCTTGTCATTTTCTTTGTCCAATCTCAATGCAACTCATGAGAGATCCAGTAACAGTATCAACAGGTATAACCTATGATAGAGAGAGCATTGAGAGATGGTTATTTTCATGCAAGAACAATACTTGTCCGGTAACGAAACAAGTGTTGTCTGATACTGATCCAACTCCTAACCACACGCTTCGACGATTGATCCAAGCATGGTGCACCCTCAACGCTTCTTGTGGAATAGAGCGAATCCCTACTCCGAAGCCACCAATTGACAAAATCCAGATCGTAAAACTCCTCAACGATGCGAAAAAGTCACCACAAATGCTTCAAAAATGCCTCCAACGGCTCAGATCGATAGCGAATGGAAGCCCGACGAACAAGAAGTGTTTGGAGGCTTCAGGTGTAGTTGAGTTCTTAGCTTTAATCATAAAGAAAAACGAGTCTACTGCAATAGAACTGGCATGTGAATGTGATGAAGCCTTATCAATCCTTTATCATCTTGAAATATCGGAAACAGGTCTCAAGAAACTCATAAACAGTGATTCTGAGTTTGTGAAGTCTTTAATCCATGTTTTGAAATGTGGGAATCACCAATCTCGAGCCTATGCTATAATGCTTATGAAATCTGTTTACGAGGTGGCTGACCCGAGCCGATTGATGAGTGTTGGATCTGAGTTCTTCATTGAAGTGGTTAAAATTTTAAGTGATAATATCTCACAGCAAGCTTCCAAGGCTGCATTGAAGCTTCTTGTCGAGGTATCTCCATGGGGAAGGAACCGAATCAAAGCAGTTGAAGCGGGTTCAGTACCGGTCTTGATCGAGCTACTTATTGATACATCGGAGAGAAGGGCCAGTGAGCTAATACTAGTTGTGTTGGACCGGCTTTGCGGCTGCGCAGATGGGCGAGCGGAGCTTTTAAAGCACGGTGCCGGGTTGGCAATTGTGTCGAAAAAAATATTTAGGGTTTCTCATGAGGCAACAGATAGGGCAGTGAGGATTATCTGCTCAATTTCTAGGGTTTCTGCAACTTCTAGAGTTCTTGAAGAAATGCTGCAAGTGGGTGTTGTTTCAAAGCTGTGTTTGGTGCTGCAAATGAATAGTAGTGCGAAGACAAAGGAGAGAACTAAAGAGATTCTGAAATTGCATTCTAGGGTTTGGAAGAACTCTGGATGTATTCCTGCTAATTTGATCTCTACTTATCCATCTTGATAGAGGGAGGTTAATTTTTGTGTACATAATTTGATTTGATGATGTGTGGAGGATAAGCACGCCTCACTAAATTAAATTCATATAACTGAGAATTTTTTTCCTTTTTACTTGGAAAGCTCAGATCTTGTTTTTTTTTTTTTTTGTGTGGATGATGTCAGATGGTGTAGAAAAATTGTTGCTGATTTTGTTTTCTTGATTTCATTTTTTTCTATTTAAGGTAGTGCACACTATTTAAAGTTGCATATGATTACATCCCTTTGATTGCCATAGAATTTGATCTTGTTATAGGATTAAATACTAGAAACAAATTCTCACAATGAGAGGGAAATACATGGTGAATAAAACTCCTAGGGCATTTATTAGCAACAAATTAAGGTTAAGGGGAAATGATAGAGAACTCTAAATATAGAGCTCTAATTTGAGCTCTAATGATGTGTCAAAGCAAAAAAAAAAAAAAAACAAACAAAACAAGGCACAAACATCACATTAGGGTGGGACTCACCTTCCCATTAGAGCTATTAGAGCTCCTATATTAGAGCTCTAAAGCATTTTTGAAGGTTAAGTGGATGTAGTCCTATTAATACAATAAATTAAAGTTTTAAAGAAAGAAATATAGGGATATAATCACTTTTTAGGGATAAAATATTTTAATTGTCAAAAGTGTGTTATATTTTTTTTTTGATCAGTAAAGAAAAATTTCGTTAACAGCATGAAATTAAGAGTACAGGAAGATGAAGTGCATCTAGAGAGATTTGAAAAGTACAAACTACCGCTACTACTGCTACTCGCACCCATACAGTGAACCCCTCGGCATCACAATTTTTTAAAACAAGAAAATAAAAAACAGAGATAAGAAGGACTTAGCTCAACAAAACATAAGAAACCCCACAAAATTACCCTTACACAACCCAAGTAAAACACACCCCATAAGTAAAACACACCCCACAGAGCAGACACTCTCGCGCCTAACTCTCACCCACTTAGCAGAGATAAACACCCATCTCCACCCCATAAGTGTGTTATATTTTTAGCGATGAAACTGGATGTTTATAAGTTACTATCTTTTTAGGACTAAATTTTTTGTCTAATAAATTAAATATTTTTGTGCAAAATTGTTGTCCTTAAATGTACATTTAGATTTTGTAGTTTGTTTTGGGATTGGGTCGTTCTTTTATTTATTTTGCTTCATCCTTTTTTGTTTTGGTTGGTCTCTCACCAACTATTGGTGTTGTGCTAACAAATGATTGAGTTTGCATTTCTGTGTCAACTTAGTTGGGATAGATCTGTTTTACTTTGATACTCGTTGCACTCTCTCCTCCTTTGTTGATATATTTGGCTCAATATTTGTACTTAGTTTTTTCATCAATAAAGTTTTTATTTCGCTAATTAAACAGAAAGTAAATTTTTTTTTTCATTAGCAAAAACCAACTCTTTATTGATGAAACAACATATGTTCACATGAGGCTTGCATCAATAAAGGAGGGAGTGCCACAAACAAATACTAGCAACACCCTCAAGTTGGTGAGGAATCAACAAGAACAAGGACAAGAACAGCATGCACTGAGTAAACAAAAAATCAGTCCACACTATTATCCACACTGGTGCCACAAACAAACTCTTTATTAACAAAAAAGTATATTTATTAACAACAATTTTAAAATTTTGTTGCTTAAGGCCCTTAATTTTTGATATTTCGAGACAGCCATTTAGTAATGATTTTTATGACGACAAAAATTAATGTATAACAAAAATTAATGTATAACAAAAATTTATTTTTAGGGACAAAAGAGTTTAGGCCCTAAAACTTTTATATTTGGTAGCATATTAGCTATAATTTGCTAAATTATGAGATGACATAAGGTAATCATATAATAATTTCAAATATACTGTGTTAGAATCTGTTATTTTTATTGTTTTAATTGAGTATTTGAATCAACTTACTTACATCTCAACAGCGTCATAACTTAAAACGCATATCATAATCGAAAGGACTTGTGACCGGAACCAAAATCCCAAAAGTACAATCATCTCTCTCGTTGCCAATTGGTAGTTACAATTCCAAAGATTTTGTGGATTAAACTACAAAGGTCAACTCATGAGGAGCTCTTGATGTTTCAACTTTAATGAACTTTCTTTCCTTCTATTTTTAAATTTTTTTTTTCATTAGTCAAAATAATAAAGCCAAATTTGGTAAACAAAAACAAGGGGTAATTTCATTTAAGTGGATTTGTGGGAAAATATTTTCAGATTAATGATATACTTTATGGATATTAAAAAAGTAAAAACATAAATTTTTTATGACTTTGTAATTAGTTTTTAAAAGAATCTCTAGGATGTAATTTCTCCCAAAAACAAAACAAAACATACTCTCTCCTCTTTTATCTAATGTTGCGGTGGAATCTTGGATTTGTAAAAGAAAATAAAAATAAACGAGAAATTTGTGAAAAAATTTAATTTCTATTTTACTAACTCTTTTTTTTTTTTCTTCACAAATCCAAAAACTAGAACAATAGCCCCTACGAGCGTTGACATTCACACACTCCATTCCATGCCCATGAAGGCAAGCATATATATGTTGATATGGTACATGCAGGACCACCAATAATTTTTCACCATTTCAAGGTTTCTCGATTAGAAAATTTGGGTTCTCAGAAAATGATATGTAAAAATGACTCAGAATAGAAATAGAGTTAAAACCGCAGCTTTCCTTCACAACCGGGGCATCCTTGGTTCCAACGTATCAACCTCCTGCACTCTTTGTAATTCTGCTGTTGAATCTGCCAGCCATGTTTTGCTACATTGTCCTTTCTCTTGGTCCATTTGGTCTGCTGTGCTATCTGATTGGGGAATCCTTTGGTGCATCCCATACTTTGTAGCCGAATTACTTACCTGGTGGATGAGTAGGAAGTTTAGGGGCTTTACTTCCAAAGTTTGGAGGTCCATCCCATTGGTTGTTCTTTGGTCTCTTTGGAAGCATAGAAACGAGTGTGTTTTTTCTAATGCTCACCCTAATCCAGTGGAACTGTGGGACCTAATCAAAGTCAAGTTGGCTCATTGGCTCAAGGCCTCTATCAAAGATTTCCCCATCTCAGTCTCAGATTTTGTCTGCAACTGGAGGAACATCAAGAGCTTCACCTGAATAATAGGCTTTTCAACTGTTACATTCAGCTTTGAATGCTCCAGCAGTGGTGACTTCTGCAGATTCTGAGTTTAAATTCCAACTGGTAGTGTGTGCTTTACTTCAGTCCCTCAGTACTGCCTTGACTTTAGGCTGCAGGGGGTAGTTCTTCAGCTCTGTTGGCTCAATCAGAATTAAGCTGCAGGTTGCAGGGTGCTGTCTTGCTCTGGTATGGACTGTTTTGGACTGGTTAGCTCTGTCTGCTCTGGACTGTTAAGCTGCAGGTTGTAGAGCTTCTCAGTAATGGTACAGTGGCATGGAGCTTCAAGGCCACCATGCTTCTGGATGCTATGCTGCAAGGTTGTTTTTAGTTCTTCAGCCCTGATGGCTCAGTCAGAATTAAGTTGCAGGTTGCAGGGTTGTTTTAGTTCTTCAGCTCTGCTGTTTGTTTCTGTTCTGGTTTGGACTGTTTTGGCCAGGTTAGCTCTGTCTGCTCTGGACTGTAATGCATATATGGGGTCTGCTGTGTGGTGAGTTGGAGGGAGGTGTACTGCTAGTGCTAGCAGAATTGTTTTGCAGATTTGTGGCATGGAGAATTGTTTTGCAGAATTGTTTTGCATATCTGCTAGCAGAATTGTTTTGCATATCTGGACAGTTATGCTCATCTTCAAGGTCACCATGCTTTGATTCCCCTGGAGTGAAATTATTTTTGCTTAAGTGCTGTATGCTGCAGGATTGTATTCTTCTTGTTTTGTTTTGTTGGTTTCTCACCAACTGGAGGTTGGTGCTTCAATTAGCTCCATCCTCCTCTTTATTGATGTTCTGTATCTCTTTTACATACTTACATCAATAAAGATTTTCTTTGCCGATCTTTTTTTTTTTTCTTCACAAATCCAAAAACTAGAACAATAGCCCCTACGAGCGTTGACATTCACACACTCCATTCCATGCCCATGAAGGCAAGCATATATATGTTGATATGGTACATGCAGGACCACCGATAATTTTTCACCATTTCAAGGTTTCTCGATTAGAAAATTTGGGTTCTCAGAAAATGATATGTAAAAATGACTCAGAATAGTAAATGAAAAGTTCCTATTTGAAATTGTTAGCATAAATGAATGTTGACCATTGATTAATAATTAGTCTCGCTTCATAATTGGGATGTTTAGTTTTGACAATGATGCAACTTCTCCCCAACCTATTTGTAACTTTTTTATTATCTAGTAAAATTTGTTTTTGCTTGCGGTACAAATTTTTTGCTTTTTGAATAATATTCTAATTGATTTTTCCAAATTTGTAGATCCGCTATTCTCGTTATTATTGGAGGTGTAAGACTGCAATGAAAATGGTTAAAGTCAAATTATTCAACTGAAATTTGAGCCGCTAAAAACGTGTTCTTTTTTTGACAACTTTAATATTCCTTGAAACAACATAAAAGAGAACGTCTCTTGGCTATTTCAATTCAACTTAAAGGAAAAAATGAAATTTTTTATGCATGTTGTGCAGTGCTTACTTTTGTAACTGTAAATAATAGATTTACACATTTCTTGACCAAGGAAGGGTTCAAAAAAGAAAACCTTATTTTTTTTTTTTTTGGAAAACCTTAAAGAAATCCTTACCTATCTAGCAAGACTATTTGGAAAGGGAAAGGGAAAAGGTGTGTGAAACTATGTGAAATTTAGGCATATTTTATTCATATTTCACCTACCTTTTCCATTTCCCTTTCCAAATCCTTCCTTAAATCCCTCAACCAAACACAACATAAAGAAATCCTTACCTATCTAGCAAGACTTTAATTATAGGGACTTCATTCATGTTCACTAATTTTAACTTCTCTTTAATATACACCACATAATTATAGTTTTGTTCGTTTCCCCAACTTGCAATCTTGATTGTTTTTGTCACAAAAAAGAAAAAAGAAAAAAAAAGAAGAGAAAAAGTCATGGTTATGTATATGGGTTATGATTGTCTTTTGCCTATTTAAGTAGATTGGATCATGCAATTTGGCTAGTGGAATTCATCATGAATACTATCTGGTCTAAATTGTTTATTTTTGTGAGTTTTTTAGTATAGATTATTTATGTAAAAAATTATATTAATCTAATAATTGTAGTCACATAATTTTATTGTCTTACATAAAAATAATAA